CTTTCCCTTCCTGATAAGCATTTTGTGGTCTGTGACTTGGTTCATGCTTCCACAACTTAAATAAACCAGAAGACACAGGTTTGGGAGTTTCAGCTGAACCTGCAGTAATTGTCATGGCTGACAGCAGTGGAAGTAAAATTCTCTTCTCCGAAGAAAGTGCCTATCTCAGCAGCTCGATGGCAGTGTACAGGCGTTAGCAGTGGAAAGATGGGCAACCAAGAGCTTGTCATGTGCACAACTACAGACAACGAAACAAAGTAGGTTTTAGGGCATCCGACAACACACTGGCACCCGTATGTTAGAAGTGCAAAAGCACATTGCACCCGATGCTTAAAAATAATGCTGGGGAGAAGCAGATGAAGCAGTGCAAAAGAGGAAAAGATGAGAAGACTGGTAAGTTAAAGAGCTGTGTAGTATTTACAAAGCAAGCCAGCAAGAAGAGGGGTTGTGGGCAGCGGTTCCTCACAAGGCATGTGGCAGGGCTGGGACACACGGACAGGTTGTTGCCGCTGCCATTAGTTAGTTACTCCAAGCAGAGAGCATCCTCAGTGCTTGCTTTTCAGGCCGAAAGGATTTTTGTTTACTGTGGTGAGCTCTCACCACTGCCTGGCTATCAGCATGTGGGCAGCAGAGTCAGGCTGCCCTGACCTTTCCAATGGAGAGCTTTCAATTAAAAACTGTGCATGGGGGAAATGTGACATTTTCAGTTCCACGGTGAAGTTCACTGAAGGAGATGAGACCTCCTGTAGCTATTACCGAGTCCCTTCTCTCCACATACCTTTTGTTAACACCACTGGAAGTTGGGATGAAAATCCTGCTGGAAAAGAAAGCAGAGGTTGGGTTTGTTTACCCAAAGTAGCTATATGGGTAATACAGTCCTCCTTAAAGCACACCCCACACATAGATACACGCATGCAAGCATTGCTGTATTTTTGTCCAGGGGATGGCTAGCCTAATAGATCTGATCCAAGCACCAGGCACTCAGTCACATTGTGCATCGCTCCTGCACAGCTGAACATGCTTTGGCAGTATGAGAGAGGATGAGTCATGGCATGGCATTACCCAGGTGTTCGGGGAAAAAAAACCTTTGAGGATTTTACTGAAGCTTGCTGGGATAGGAAATGCGTTTGGAATTTAGCAGCAGCAGCAGCAGAGCCGGTAACGCTGTCACGGCTAATGTTGCCACGTTTCATCTCACTAAACCTTGTTTCAGCTGCTTAGAGCTTTTCTACAATAGAGACCTCCAGAGACTGCAGTCCTTCACAGCAGAGAACCAATGCCTCACAGGGCTTTTGTACAAATACTAAGCAGAAAATTACTCTATTGCTATTAAGAAGCTGGAAAGATTAAGACATGTTAGAAACATTCTCAAGATCCATTTCCTTGTAGTGTTTCATCCTTTGGTGCAGGAACTGAAGCATCAGCAGAAGAGCAGCAGAGATTAGCCTTTTGCTGTTCTCACGGAAAGTGCCTGTGGTACATCCTCCAGCTGGGGAGTAGTGAGGGGCAGCCAAACTCCCCAGGTACTTTTCAGTGAAGCTGAGGGCAATCTCTCTGCACATATCATTTCCCTATCGTGCATCTTTTTCCCCTTCCCCATTCCATCAAATTGCAGTGCACACTCCACTCTGGGACTGGCTGGGACTTCACCTCCCAGCACTGACTGCCATCACCTTTCTGAAGAGCATGTTAAGGGATACCGTAGTGCAGATAAAATATAGCTTAAGGACCCAAGCTTTTCTTTTTCCAACCCTCTACTCTCCCTGCTCAAGAGTCATTTTCTTCACATTCACCTTCTTTTCCCCCTTCTAGCCTCATGTGTCTTAAAATTACAATGCAATCCCTCTTAGCCCAACATTTTCTCTGCAACTGTGGTAAAAGAAATCACATTTTTAGTCAAAGTGGTAATCACCGACTTCATTTTGGTTGATAGATGGCTAGGCTAGGCTAGGCTAGGTCTGCTTCCCCCACCACACAGTACAGATAAGGTTTCTCTTTAGCATCTGTTCTGTCCTTCCCCCTCCAGACTGTCTTGACGCCTTTATGTTCCATTTGTTTCCAGTGTGCAGTGAATCACAGGCAAAGCCACAGATGCAGAAACATCCCCTCCTCCCAAGCTGCCATTAAGCAGATTTAATTCCCAGTTTCTGCTACAGCCTCAGCCTGTCATTTCCACGTATGAGAATTCTAACCATGCGTGAGTGCAAGCAAACAGCTCTTCACGAAAGCAGCAGCAGTGTGGGGAGGATGCAGCACCCTGACCAGTGACCAGCAGACAGAGGTTTGGCAAGGGGAGAGCAGCAGCAGAACCTACACACCAGGGAGGCTGTTCAGCTCTCAAGAACAGGAGATCCAAGGGAGGCAGCAAAAGACAGCAAGTACCTTACTTGGATGCACTTTGCCAGCAGCTTTCTATCAAAGGGCTAATAGCAGAATAATTCTGGTAAAATAAAGGCATTAGCACTTTGGCTCATTCAGCACTGACTGGTCATCCTGCCATTACACAGCAGGCTGCCCTCTCAGCTCACTGCATGTTAGGGGTAGCGAGACAGTATGATGCTCCCCAGGCAGGCTTTGGAGGCACAGCCTCACTTCGTCCTCATCCCACCACTTCCACAGCTGAGAATGGGGATCTCCACAGACCATTACCCTGCACTGGTCATTTGGGGTTAATGCCTACACACTACTTACAGAAATGATGTTTGAGTTTTGCCAGGTCATCCCCATGGCACAATGTGTCCCTGAGGAATATCATTGCAAATGGGGAGACCCACATAGTCTCCTCCTATTTCCAGTACTTCAAGACTGGGTGTGCTCCTTCTGGAGCCTTCTGATCTATGGGCAAAGAATCCATCCACACCCTGATTTTCATTCAGCTCTTATCTGGACGCACGGCAGACCACACAGTGAGCGTTTCCTGCATTAGTTCACTTGATACACATTAAGCAGGGCAAAGCTCAGGTTTGCTGTCAGATAATTTACAGAGGGATTGGTATGAAAATAATCTCTGCATATTAACAGTAGGTCAGGCAAATACTTCTACCATCCATGTAGACGGAAGAGGCAGCATCAAGTAACTTATTGTTTTGTCTAATCATTTGCAGCTGTTTTTTGAAGACCCACTTTTTACATAATTTACCACTCGCAGGCTTTTGCAAATAAAGATGGGAGATCATTTCTAGACACTGCTAATAAGCCAGTCAGTTTAACAATGTACTAGATATGCTGCTCCAGCAATTTCAGCCTCAAGCCTTACAGCTTCAGGCTGTTGCCTAGCTAGAGACAGCTCACAGCCTGAGGCTGGGAGGATCTTTCCTTCAGTGGGAGAACACATGGAATGTCACCATTTCCCTCTGTCTGCTCACCTAATGACTTCAGTATCTGCTGCCCTTTCTCTCCCTGATGCCGTAAGGAACTTTAAGCCCTGACATTTCCTTCCTAAGCCTCCCTGTCTGTTTTCAGGAGGGGTGAGGTGAGAGGGACCCCTGTCCCAGGCATGTCTTGGAGAGGGTGCAAAATGAGCCTGCCTGAAATGGTGACACAGATGAGGCAGCTCTGCAGCCCAGACAGGAGAGAAATGAAGGGGCAGAGAGGTGAGCAGGAAGGAACACCCAGGAGAGAGCTGGTGAAACACTGTGTTTCAAGCGTCAATATTGGTCATCATCAATGAATATCAGATGAGACAGTGAATGACTATTGAAAGCACAGAAAACCTTGCTGCAGGTCTGAAACATGTGACTAGAACAGCACAAATACAGTGGCTGAAACCTTTGTGGAAGTAGACATTAAAAAAAAAAAAAACAACAACAACAACAAAAAAAACACACACACAAAAAAAAACCAAACAAAAAAAACCCCCAAGCACTAAACCAAAACAAATTAACTTTTAACATCAATGTTCTGTCCACCACAGATGGACAAGCATCATGACCTTATTATCGAACAAGTG